CGCTGTCGCGGGGTCGGGCGGGCGGAGCCGCGGGCAGGGCACGGCCGGGCCGGCGCTGCGGCCCCGGCGCGCCTGCCTGGCGGTAACTGACGCAGCGGAGTGCAAAACTCGATTAAAGCCGAATTCCCGCACCCAGACGCGCCGTATTAGGCTCTGGGAGCCGCTCCGAGGAGCGATAGGCTCGCGGAACAGGGGCTGGGATGGGCTGGGCTAGCGCAGCCGTCCAACGGCGGCGGAGCGCCGCAGAGCCCCGCGTCCCATTGGCCTCAGCGCGCCTTACATCGCCGTGTTTCTGCTGCGTGGAAAAAACTGCCTCGTTTGACACATTTCTCTCTTTTCCTCCTGTCTTTCAGATTATGTCGTAACCACAGAACGAGCGAGCAGTGATGGAATCACTGGACACCGAGGTGAGGGCACGGAAGACCCTGGGGACTGTGGAGTACGTGGAGTCTTCGGGCTTCGCGCAGGGCGTGCTGCCCACCAAGAAGGATGTGGTGCAGAACATGCTGTACCTGCTGCAGCCCAAGAGGGCCGGCCAGGCCCAGCGCTCCAAGGAGGACGCGGCCCAGCTGCTCGCAGAGCACCTGCAGGAACACTGGCTGGTCTGCAACCTGCACACCATTGCCACGCAGAACATAAAGAAACTCATCCTCAAAATGTACGAGGAGTTCACCCGATTGTACCAGACCAGGAAGCAGAGACAGAACCAGGCTTTTTCCGAGCGAGCCGACAGGTTCAACGAGAGTTCAGAGAAGCTCTTTGACGTGTTTTGTACAGACACACAGATGAGGGATAAACTGGAGGAGTACAGTGGGATAAAAATGACCAGCATCGAGTGGAAGTTTCTGGAAGATCAGAGGAACGAGAGAAAAATGTACTACGAGGATTTCACAGAGAAGCAGGAGTTGAAGACGATGGAGAGAAGGCAGAAGATACAGTGTCTGGAGCACTTCAGGAAGCTCGCCAGGGAAGAGAAGGAGAGCAGCAAGGCGAAGGAGATGAAGTGCAAGGGCGAGGAGCAGTCGGATGAGGGCACGAGCGTGGATGAGCTGTGCCCTGCGGAGGAGGAGAACGGCGGCGCCCCGGCCTTCTCGCTGCGGGGCCGGCGGAAGCGCCGCTGCACCGCGGCCGGCGGCGGCACTGACCTGCCCCTGGAGGGCGAGCACATACGGATGAGCATCCGCAGGGTCAGGCCTGGCTTCTACGAGACTGTGGAAAAGGTGAAAAACTGCTAGCGCCCGCCGCGGAGAGCGGGCAGAGCTGCTGGAGTACGAGGTGGCAATGCACACGTTAGGCAAGTTTGAAATCCCACCATCCATTGGAAGTGATTGTTGTAGATCCTCAAGCCAGAGCTCAGGAACATGCTGCCTCCAGGGAAGAGGGCTGGGATGATGACAGTGACAGCAAGGACTAAACCAAATGGATTTGGAAGGATGAGCTGTCAGCAGCCAGCGATGCCAAGGCTCGAATGCAGAGGATGATCCAAGGTTACGTAGCACATAAGCCTCTTCTTCCAAGGTCCTGTCTGCATCCGTGGGGTTTGGAAGTCTCTCGGTGTTTCTGAGCCAGCGGCGGCCTGACAGCGTGAATCAGGACACAGATTTACTGCAGGTGATAACTTGGACTTGTTGCTAACAGAAGATCCCTGTGCTGAAGAGCCCTGGCTGCAGTGGGGGTGAAAGATGCGTGGCCTCTTCCTGCGGGAGCTGGCGTTTCTGCAGGAAGGAAGTGGGTTTGCAGCGTGTGTCACCAGCCCCGGAGAGGCATGCTGTGCTTTTGGAAAGGGACTGCTCTCCTGCTTGAGGAGCAGGCAGAGAGCAGAAGACAGTGGAGTGCTTTGGCTGCTAAAGCATTGGTGATTCTGAATGTTTTATTCTAGATTCTATTTTACCAACGTTTCCTCGATCAGGATAAACCTTCCTGTAACTGGATGAGTTTTATCATGAAGTCCCTAATATAGGATCTGGGGTGTGAATCCTAAATGAAGTGGTAATGTTTTATCTTTGGGGGGGAGGGGGTTAACATAGGAAAAATGCAAATTGCATTATTTAGTTTTAAGATGAGAGTAATTTTATAAGCTGTTATACTGCCTTTATAGGACATAGGGAAGAATAAGCCTTCCCAGGTGTAGCTGTGGTGTTCACAGCAGCAGGCACCCAGATCTGGGCTTGCTCTTCCACCCCGAGGTGGTGCATGTAGACCAGCAGGGGGGAGATGGTAGTTTTCCACCCGGAGGTTGTTTGAACAAAGCGTGACCCTCTTGCCCACGTACATCCTGAGCAGTGACGTATCTGTGACTTTTTTAGTTAAGAGTTGCTTTACTGGTTTTTAAAGGTGAGAGACTTGAACTTCCAGTGAAACCCAGTGCTGGAGATCTCTCTGGTGAGATGCCCAAACCTTGCCAGACGACACTGAAAATGGAAAACCCCCAAGTCTCTATTTGTCCACAAAAGATCTGTGGTAGAAAGAGCGCAAACTTGCCTGGTTTTAAAATTTACCTTCCAGTGTGAATGTTGGTTTCCCCACTCCAGTATCTCAGCTTTTCCCCGTTTCTTTCCTCTCCGTCCTGCACATCATTTACTGACGTTAACTCGTGCTCTTTCATTCTTTGGCTTTTGCTCCCTTTAACAATAAATGCATGTACGAATAATTTTGACAGTTCATTTACTTTTGATGAATCAGTCCTCGGACTGCTTTGAAGTCCTGTGCCAAAGGAGGAATGAAACCCAGAGCAGCTGCCGGTCCCCTGGGACACGGCGGCCCCGGCTGGGCTGCCCAGGCAGGCTCCAGCCTCGGCCACCTGGCACAGATCTGTGTGGCTGTGAGCTGCGTGTCCCTTCTCAGGGACCGTGCTCCTTGCTGCCGGGGTCCTTGCTCTGTGTCTCTGACAAGCTCTTCATGGTAAGTCGCTCCAAAGTATTTAGTGCCCGCCGCGTGCTCTGCACCACTCGTAGTTCTGCAGGTTTGGTAGCAGCACCCTTGAGCCTCCCTCCATCTCCTCTCTCTGACATGCTTCACTGACCTCCCCATGCAAATTATGTCACGTTTAAACTATTTGCCTTCCAGCCAGGAGGTGCTGGATTGAGCCTCTCACTGGGTCTCTACACCAGCAGCTCTGTTTCAGCAGGGAATATAGCCAAGCTCGGACCTCGCCAAAGTAAAGTTTTTTAATAACTGCTGTAAGCCCCCTTTTTATTACAGATATAGCTGACAGTATAAATGCTTGTGTGTAAAGCAAATCCATTTGGGTTGGCTCGGATATGGAACACAGCTGTATAGTGCTTTATGATTTTCAGGGATTCAGGGAATTTAAGGTTGTCAAATTTGACTTCCTGTCTACCACAGGGAATTACATTTCATTCAGAAGCCCCACACTCAGCCTGCTGGTCTCAGTTGAACTGATGTATCTGACAGAAAGTCAAGCCACAGGTGTCAGCATTCTGCTGTCTTCCTTGTTGCCTATTTAGTGATTAATCACCTTCACTCTTTCAAAATAAGACAAAAAAAAATCTGACCAACTTCTAGGCTGTGATTCTTTTCACGACATCCTGTACAGGCTGAGCAGAGTTTATCACATTAAAATCATATTTGGGTTTTTTTTAACTGGGTTTGACTGTGGATAGAGCCAAAGCCTGGCTCTGTTTCTGCTGCAACAGGGGGAAAATTTCTAAATCATGTATTCTGATTACTCTTCTTTGGGACCATGGTGCCTTTTTAATCAGGACAGTAAATCTTGTCCCAGGATTCTGTACTTTTGTACGTTAACAGTTGTTGACTTTCCTTTTTGGTGTGTCCCAAATAAATTAATATAACATACTTCTGGGCTTTTGTTTCTTCTTTCTAAAGGGGGAGGAAAGAGGAAACTGAAGCTAAAGTAAATCTCTGCTTCAGCTCTCCTTCCCAGGCCTTGCAGGAGCAGCTGGGTTGCATGCAGGTGGAGTTGCTCCTGTCCAGACCGTGTGGGGCGGTGGTAGGGAAGCTGCAAGAAATGGGAATCTGGCACAGAGGCCCACATGGAGCCCTTCTTTCAAAGATGCTGGAACCTGGAGCAGCTGAAGGTAAGGGGAGAGGATTAAAGTCTCTGCACATGGTGGCAGTGTTTAATGAGGACTCTGTGTGCCTCAGGCGTGGTGGGATTGGAATCGGAGACAAAGGTGGGGCCTTCCTGGTGTGATCCCATGCATGAGTGTTCCAGTGCTGCCTGTTCTCCTGACTGTGGTTCAGGGATCTTGTTTGAGATGAGGGGCAGTTGGTCCAAGAGAGACACAGCGATGGTTTGCACCACAGGACTTCAGCAAGGAAGGGAAATTGGAAAGGAGGAAATGGTGGAAGGGGCATGTTTGCATCAATGGCTTTTGCAGGAAGAAATTGAGGTGCATCCCAGGGGCTACAAATACTTGTGCTGGATGCTGAGTCACTGATTTTACTGGGTATTTGGGGAGGAACATTGCAAACCTTCACCCCCTGAGTCCTTCTGGTTTCTACAGGGGGAGCAATAGAAAGGAGAGGGCATCCTGAAAGCCCTGCGTCCCAAACTGGGGCCCTGACAGCCAGGCAGGGCACATGCCAGCCCCAGGAAGAAGCTGTCTCTTTGCAGCCTTTACAAGTTCCTTAGAGCTGCCCAGGCCAGCCAGAGCGAGGTACAGAAACACCAGCCTGATCTCCCAGCATGGATGTGCCTCTCATGGCCACTGCTCTGCCTCCCGCCCCTCTCGGAAAGGGGAAGGAACACAAAGAAAACAATCCAAAATGCAAATCATGGCACTACTGAGTGGGCTGGATGTGGAAAACAACGTCTGTGACTCAGCACAGAAAGAGTCACAAAGCTGGAATTTAAAACAAGTCCAAGCTGAACTCTGTGGGCATATGGCTCACAGAGTGTTGGGCAGTGCCTCCCCACAAGACCAGCTGTGCCAGACAACACAGGGTGATAGTGATAAATTGTGGCACTGCGGGTGGGATACTGGGGAAAAGTGTTCCTGGGAAGAAAGGAGCAGACCTGTGAGGCTGTGTCACAACTGTGCTTGTGCTCAGCACCAGTGGCCGGGCTTGGGCAGAGCTCCAGGAGGGGAGGGGAACCTCCTGTGTTACCTGACATCCACATTTATTTTTCCCCTGGGGGGGATGCATGGCACAGAAATCCTGGTGTGGGGCACAGGAACCCGGCATGACACCTGCCCTACCCCCAGCCTATGGCTCTCACTGCCCCCACAGGAAAAACCCCCCTGGATGTTAAAGGAGCTGCAGGGCGAGCCTTTCCAAGTGCAACCACACTAATTTATTAACCAGACACGTGCAAGGGTATTTCCTGCTCTCACTAAGGGTGTTGTCTTGTTATTCTTCCTGAGTTTCTTGACAGCAGATGCTTCCTCCTGGCACAGCTTTGGAGCCAGCACTTACTGCTCCATTCTTTTAAGGCACAGCAATGAAAGTTCCTCCCTGTACCCCTTTGTGCTGCCCAGCAGCGTCCCCTCTTGCACGGCGCTCTGGTCCTGCTCAGGTCAGGGTTTGCTCTGGGGCCTGGGGACAGCTGTGCACAGCCACAGCAGCCCTGGCAGAGCCTGCTGGGCAGCCCAGACACACCTCCAGAGGGAGGGAGGCTGGAAATTGATCCTGGGGAAATCCAAATGTCTGGGAGTTGGGGCAGGAGCTGTTGAGCTTTCTCTTTCCCAGCTACCTGGTACAGAGCAGCCAGGCCCCCAGACTTTTCTATGCCAGATGCTTTCAAGGAGCCAGCTTCTCCCTGGCTCCAAGATTTTTCCAGCTCAGTTTATGCTCAGTTTTGGGGAGTGGGTATTGACAGAGCTGTGGGCTGCACCTCCCCAGGTATTCCCTGGGCACACTCATGGCACTGCCAAGGCTCTGGCAAGAGGTTTTCTTGTTCAGCATCCTCAGTTGTACCCCAAAACACCTTTTGTGGAGTTTCTTTGTGTGCTTCCTACTGCCCCACAGAAGCGGCCTGCAGGAGACCAGTTTGCTGAACTGGCCCAGTCTCCAGCAGCATTTTATACCCTTTTGCAGGCCAATGTCCCCAAAATCACTCACAGCTTGGCTCCTCTGTCTCTGAAATGCATTCATTATGTGAGTACCCAGACAGTTCCTCCTGCAGTACCCTGTGTTTCTATTTTGAGACATACCACATTGTCCATGAGAGATGCTGGGAAGGGAAGTGAGCAGTGTGGGGGGAGGACACATTCAAAGGCACCCTGACTCTCTTGCTGCTGTCACACCCCCAGCTGCTGGGCCCTTACTTCCCACACGCCCCTGCAGACGAGTTTCTGGATGAGAGAAGCAGGTCCTGCGGAAAGTCCAGAAATTTTGGGGCATGCGTGGGTGACCGCAGACATGAGAGAGGTGGGGGTCCCTCGCCAGGACCTCACTGACCCCCTCTCCCTGGTCCCCCCGGGGTGGTCCCCGCGGGCTGGGTGTCCTTCACCGGGGCACAGCCGCCCGGAGCCGGGGAGGTGCCTGACCTCAAGCCCGGGGCTGGGGTGTGGGACAGGCCCGCGCGGGAGGGACGGGCTCGGGTTACGGCCTCGTACAGAGATGAGTGGAGCTGCGGGTTCCTGGTGCCGCGGCCGAGGGCTATTAAAGGGGCGAGCACGGGCGGCTGCGGGCCCCGGCAGCGCCCCGGCCATGGCGGGCCCGGGCAGCGACGGGGACCTGCGGCGCCTGCTGAAACTGCACCGCACCGAGATCGCCATGGCAGTGGACGACGTCTTCCCGCTGCTGCACGGCCTGGCTGACCACGATGTCGTCCCTGACCACATCTTCAAGGTGAGGCTGCGGAGCAGGACGGGGCGGCCGCGTCCTGGGGCTGGGGCCGGAGGGCTGAGGGCAGCCCGCGGGCCGTGCTGTGCCCGGCAGGAGACGCTGAGCCGGGCGGAGCGGGAGGGCTCCCACCGCGCTTTCCACGCGCTGCTCACCTGGCTGCTGGGCCGCGACGCAGCCGCCGTGCGAGACTTCTGGGCCGTCCTCTTCAAGGACTACAACCTGGAGCGGTACTCCCGGCTCCGGCCTCTCCGCGGCGCCTTGCCCAGAGGTAGCAGGGGCTCAGCTGGGACTGGCACCCCCGCGGGCCGGCAGTGGCCAGGGGTGACAGCCAGGGTGCTGGCCTCTCCCAGTCCCTGTTGTTCTTGCAGAGGTGGAGCTGGGGCGGCAGCGCCGTGGAAGGCGTCTCTCCCCAAGCCCCACAGCACCGGCCCCACACAGACCCCAAGGCAAGAGGAAAGCCCCTGAGGAGCGGGACAAGGCCCGGGCGGCACAGCCCGCTCCACGGCACGGCGCCAGTCCTGGTATGGAGACCCAGAGCAGGATGGAGATGGGCAGGGTGCTGTCCCCGAGGTATTGTGGTGTGCCCCCCGACACCCATCCTCACAATGCTGCAGGGCCCCTGGGGAAGGCAAAGACTGTGAAGAAGCCGGAGGGCACAGATACCCCCCGCACCTCTCGTGCCAGCGGTGAGTGCCGAAACCCCCAGGGCAGCTTTTGCCTATGTGCCCTGTTTGCCCACAGCCGTGGGCAGGGGGCTGCCCACCCCTCTGAACCACTCCCATGTCCGCAGCTCTCCAGGCAGTGGCTGCCTCGGTGCAGAGAGCAGTGGCTGTGGCAGGTGGCGAGGTGCCCGTCAGCCGTGGGGCCATCGAGGGCATCCTCATTAAACACGTGCTGGACCCAAGTAAGTACAGCCGTACAACCCAGCCCAGCCACCTCCTGCCCAGTTTAGTCCCCAAATTCAGGAGCCATCCTCAGGCAGGGTGAGGTGGGGAAGGGGAGCTGGAGCTGCCTCTGGCCTCCCTTGCAGACAGCTCCAAGACAGGCAGCAGAGCTGGTGATAAGCCATATACCCCAACTGCCTGCGAGGAGCCAGAGGCCAGGAGCAGAAGCCACAGCCTGAAGCCCCCAGCCCAGCCCAAGGCATGCCAAAGTGTACAAACACCCCCCTCATTTGTTTTCACCCCCATCTTGTGCAGCTGCCAAGGCTCTGGCAGGGGGATGTTCCTGCATGGCATCATAGCCATGGCCTGGGGGTGTCCCCAGTGCAAGCAGTGCCTCTCCAAACCCCTTCTTGTCTTGCCAACAGAACAGGGAGCCCCAACTGCACCCTCAGGGCCAGCTGCAAGCAGCCACTGTCTACAGCCAGGACCCTGTGCCCCACCAGGTGAGCCATGGATGTGACCCTAGGAGGAATTGTTGGGATTCCCCTGGCATGTCCATTTGCTCTGGCCTTGAAAAGGAAACACGGGGTTTAGCTACGAGGGGTTCACCATATTACGACCCCCAAAAAACAGGGGCAATTTTACCACCCTGAAAGGATTGGTATGTTTGGTGCAGGGTGGGTGATGCAGGGGGAGAGGGCAAGGGGGGTGAAAGACCTTGCGACAGCCACGGCTTCAGCCTGTGAGGGTGGCAGTGACCCCCTGCCCACTCCCCCGGGAACAGGAGAACGAGGATGAGTGTGCAGCATGCGGTGATGGTGGTGAGCTCATCTGCTGTGACGGCTGCCCCAGGGCCTTTCACCTTGCCTGCCTGGTGCCCCCGCTGCCCCACGTCCCGAGGTGAGTCCCGGGACACACAGGGATGCCAGTGCCCCTTGCCGTCCCTCACTGCTCTGCTCCCACTGTGCAGCGGCACGTGGCGATGTGGCTCCTGTGTGGAGAACGTGACTGAACCAGGCCAGCTGCTGGAGGCGGATCTGCCTGTGGAGAGACCCCCCGAGATGCTGGGGGAGGCAGCACGGGACACCCAGCCGGGGGGAGCGGAGGGGAGCGTCTGCAGCCGCTGCTGCACGCGGATCCCCACTCCCCACCACTGTCCTGCTCCCACTGGGGACCCCAGGTGAGTTCCCCATCACGCCCCACATCCCAGCCTTAGTTCCTCCCTGGAGGGTTCTGCCCTGACGGTCTGTGTCGCCCCTGATGGTACAGGGGGCTGCTGCTGTGCATGTCCTGCACGGGCACGCTGGACACAGGCGGTCTGGGCACCACTGCAGCAGCTGGAGAACAACTGCTTCCAGCAGCCAAGGTCAGCACAAGCAGTGCCAGGAGCAGGGTGGGAGAGGAAGAGCGGGGCCTAAGGGGAGCAGGAAGGTGGAGGTGGGTCAGGCAGGGTGAGGGACGGGCTGACACCACATGGAGGCAAATCAGTGAAGCTGTACTGGGGGAGCGCGAGCTGGGCCCACGCCAGGTAACGGACTGAACACGGGTAGCAACCCTGAGCAAAGGTGAACAGGCTGAGGGCAGCAAGGGAGCTGGCAGGATATCTCTCCATGCACAGGCAGAGGACGGAGCCCTAGGAGGGGACCCTGTGCTGAGCCGGGAGGAGCTTGATGCGCTGCTAGGTGAGGTAAGACTGCGTGGGACACCAACAGGCCGCTTCCATGCAAAGGGCACCATGGCTCTGGTGTGCCACAGGGTGACATGGGGCTGTGGGTCAGGCAGCATGTGCCTGACCCGAAGGAAGGGATGTGGGATGGGAATAGAAAATGAACACCTGGGGCTGTCCCACAGAGCACGTGGGATGGGATCTTGCACTGGGCGTTCCAGACCATGGCACGGCCGCTCGCAGAAACACAGGAGCACCTCGCCTAGCGCACAGACCAAGCAGCAAACTCCATATGGCAAGTCATGAAAAACCACCCTCTGAGACACATGTAAAATAAGATGAAAAACTACATACTAACGGCATAACAAAGCCAGAGAATACAACACGGATGGACAACAAAATATCCCAAAATAAGCACAGACGAAAACGGCAGGCCAAATCCAGTGACACTCAACAGAGAAAAAAAACAATTAAAATGTGCAAAAACAACATAAGAGAGAAAAAAAAATAACATGAATTAAAAAAAATAATAACCAATGGACAAACCCCTCAGCAG